GGGGAGCCTGCAGCCTGTGCCTGCCCCCCCCCATACAGATCTGGGGGGTGCAGGTACCCCTGCCCCTCAGGAGTGCACATGGCAGCAGGGAGCTGGCTCTCCCCAACCCCTTCACCCGGACAAGCCACCCATGGCCCTGTCCTGCTCCCTGCTGGGGCCCTCCAGCTGCGCATTGTGGCCCCAGGCCCCAAGCACCTTCCCTCCCTGCAGGGGCCTCATTTCCCCTCTCCCTTCCCACTTACTTGCTGGAGCTGCTCTTAGGCTGCCTGAAGCCATGTATGTGCACATGGGCCCCCCTGCCTGACCACCCTCCTCCTAGCTGTCTGCAGCTTGGAGCTCTGCCACTGCACAGAACTCTGCAAAATCTGTGGGTTTCTCTGGCAAAACGAGAATCCATGTTTGCCTTTGCTAAAATGTAAAATCTGTGGTTCACTCTGTTTTTTCCATGGGAAACGGAAAACCTGGATCCCTGCTTATAAGCAAGCTGTTAAATAAATAAAATGGTTTTGAGCTGTCAATGAGTGTTTTGTCCTGCATGATTATATGGTGGGATGAGAACCAGAAAGTGTGTTTGGGCTTAGAAGAGACGTTTTTTTTTGTGCTCACCTAATCACAATATAAACTTTTATCATCAAGATAACGAGTGCCTTTTCTGGTTGTAATGGAACCGCCTGGTGGGTAAGCACCAGGGTTGGTGGAACTAGATTGCTTGTAGCAGTTCCCCGATTTTTACATTCAACTCCCCTCAGCAGTGAATTCTACCATGTCCCTTGGCAGTGTTTTATAGTCCTTGCACACACCTTGCTGGAGGAAATGTCTGTCTAGGCTATAACAAGTCTGTTCTTGGTTACAGAAATCTACCGCATTGTTTCGCAGAAGCAAATTGCAGATCGATCTGCTCATGATGAATCTCCTGGCAACAACGTGGTTGATATCAGTGTCCCACCAACCACCGATGGACAGAAATCCAACAAACTCCAGTGCTGTCAGAATCTGTGACCTTCTGTAGATGATTTGTGCCCCTTTCTTCGTCTGTGTTTCAGTTAGAAACTTATGTGCACTTCTTATCTCCTGTGATTCGGTGACTCCCTCTGTTCCTTTTTCACATCCTGTCTCCAAACTCCTCCTTTCATCCTAGAGCTTTAATTGTAGGGCTAACATTCCCTTATCCCTAAAATTCCCTTTGAATGTGATGACTTCTGGGCTTGAAATGTAGGCACTGATCTGATAGACATGTTTATGGTGGAACATCTGCTGCTGGATATCATCCCATGAAACTCCCCTCAAATGTATATTTTTTTTTTTTGTGGGGGAGGATGAATGGGGGTTTGATTATAACAGTTGAAGAAATAACTACACTTAAGTTTTAGTTTTCTCTGATAGTCAGGTTTTTCAGTCCCATATGTTCCCTTTAGTCATTGGGGAGAAATTAAGAAGGTAACGATTCTACCAAACATTCTGTTTTCTCTCCTGATGGAGTACCACACAGTGAGGTTATTAGTAGCTGCACACACATAAGAAAGCTGTTGAGAATAACATTACTTATAAATCCCCCAAATGCAGTTAGTCTGGCTGTGTAGTTTACTGCTTCCTGCCTGGGATGTCTTTCTCTAGTCTTAATTTTGTTTTGTTTGGGAACAATCTAGTATGTCTGCATTGCATTCTCTGCCACCATGGATGCCTATGCAGCTATGTGCAGGCTGTATGAAGTGGCTTAGTATTTATTCTTGGCTTTGTTAAACAATTAACATTACTGTACAGTAAATGCCAGCATATTGATTTTAAAACCTTTTTGCAACTTGTAGATCTAGGTTCATTTTGTACTGTAGGCTAGTGTCCAAAGGAGAAATCCTCTCTAGTCCCAGAACTTTTTTTTTTTTTTTTTTTTTTTTTTTTTTTTTTTTGTGTTTTTTTTTTTGGTTTCTCCTTAACCCTTTTT